AGGAGTGTGGACGTGAGCTGGTATGTAAAAAAATTTTTTTTTTTCTTATCGATTCTATTATGTGGGTGTTGAGGAAATGAATGCTATGACTTTTGAGGGTATGAAATAGACATGTAAATATGAGGGATAGATGGTTTCATACTTTTGGTTCCATTTGATTGGTCATAACATAATAGATTGGGAAGATATTAGGGCTGTCAGAGACCACTGATCAACTTGTAATTTTGTGTTTTCGGGTGGTATCCCCTTGTAACCTTTGTGCATAATAATATTCTTTCCTTTTTATTTAAAAACAAAAGTAGTATTAACACTTACAGCTTCATATTCTTCTTCAGCCAATGCTTGGTAAGCAGATCTGCCACCAGTGGGAACTTCACCACTCTCCATATTATGGACACTTGCAATGCACTTAAAGAATTTGCTTGTATTTTTTGCTTCTTTTAGAACATAATCTGGGGGTTGTCCTCTACACATTAACAGTAAGACATAAAAGGACTTTCAAACAATTCTAAAAGCATGCAAGCTATTACTAATAGTTTCATGATTTGTAAGAGTCTAAAATGCAAACAGCATCTAGCATATTGGAAAACATTGAAGAACATTCTTTTATTTTTTTGAGAGAAGGAAAACACTGCAGAACATGATGTTCCACATGTCCAAACAGCTAGCATGGTTCAGGTATGAACCATATTTTCAAGTAGCTTTTCCACTTTGTTACTGATCTGTGGGATAGGATTGTGTGCCTAACTTCCCTGTGGCTAAAGCACATGGTTTCTTCAGGGGTATTCCTCTTTCCAAAATCCAATGGTATTGGAATACTATTTTATATTGCTAGTATTTTGTTTTCTTCACTTCTGTCATTTGTTCTCATGTTTGTTTTTTTTTTTTCTGTTTATATGTTTTCAGAGGATAGCTTAGCCTCTATGATGTAATTCTTCTTCCTTTTTCTAATATATTTATTTTTCTATCAAAGGAATACTAAAACATGAGCATTAATGGTGAGAAATCAAAGGAACAGGAAAAGATTGACCTTCTCCCGGACAAAATGAATAAGAGCAAAAGGTTCCAAAGATGATTTCAAATTTTCCAGTCAACAAACAGAAAATGACACCAAAAAAGCAATTATTCTTCTTGTTTATCAAAACTAAAGAATAGAGTAATACCCAAGTATTTCAATCATTCGCCTCAAAAGATCAAATTCTGAAGCTCCTGGGAATAATGGTAACCCTAGAAAGAGTTCAGCAACAATGCACCCAAAGGACCACATGTCGATAGCTGTAGTATATCTGGAAATTGGTCAAGTCCAAACTGAAATCCTATTGTCCTTCCGAATCTCTAAACAGTTAAAAAGAAGTTCCAACACATTCTTTTATGAACAAAGAACAAATAAATCTCTAATTTCGCACAAATAAGATCTTTAATTGAAATGCAAAGCTCTCGATACGACTTCAGCTATTGACAATTCTACAGATTAGACCATCACAAAATAAAATATCATGATCACTCTCAGAGGTAGCTCGCTCAAACAAATCTAAAGCTCTGAGCAAAGTTACAGAACTTTAAACAAACAATATAAAATAACAGGAAATGTTCAAAGGAATTCAGATACCCCAAAAACTAATCAAATAATAAAAAGGAAAGAGTTTTGCTAGTATGAGCCTTGGTAGTAAGATCTTTAGGTATAGGTTCAGGTGTATTAGCTA